CATATATATGTCCACATCCACAGGCAAACCTCTCTCATTGAGTTCCAGAAACACCTCAATGGCCATACCTACCATAACGCTTTCTTGCATAGGCCATGAAGAATACAATTGTAACATGCAACTGAGTAGATTGATGCCTTTCGAAACTCGTCAAATTTCTCAAGTGCCTCATCAATTCTACCTGCTTTACAGTACCCATCAATCATTGTACAGTAAGTAACAGAATCTGCAGCCAAGTCCATGTCAGGCATTCCCTTATAAATTGCAAGAGCATCCTCAAATGACCCCACCATAAATAGTGCTTTAATAAGAATGTTACACATAACCACATCCAAACAAACTCCATCTGCTTCCAGTCTTTTCTTATTTCCAGCATCCCAGTGACATTCTCTTCTTCAATGTACCCAGTTAACAATGTACCATATGTGACAACATCTCCTACTATGCCCTTTGAGATCTCATTTGCCTCAGATGTCCTCCCAGCTTTGCACAATCCTTTAATCACAGTGTTATACGTTACAATACTAGGTTTGATACCCTTCTTCTCCATTTCCGCAAGCAGTTGAAAAACAATAGGAAAATTGCCCTTCCTGCAAATGCCATCAATCAAAGTTGCATAGGCGAATTCATCCAATTCAATTCCTAAATTTTCAACAGTCTTGAGCACTGTGATTGCCTCCTCAATTTTCCCTTTCTTGCAGAATCCCAACATGACTGCGGTATAAGTAACCAAATTGGGTTTCAATCCATCCTTTCTCATCTTGTTTAAAAAGCCAACTGTTTTTTCCACATTTCCTTCCTTTGAAAACCCATCTATAAGTATAGTATAGCTAATAGTATCCAAGTCAATTTTTCTTTCCCCCATTTCTTTGTATTTTTGAAATGCCATCACAAGGAATCCTTCCCTAAAATACTCATACATCCAATTACTATAAAACACAACATCAAATGCAACTCCTTCATTTTCCATCATAGAAACCAAATCACGGGCCTCCTCAATTCTACCCAACCTACAATAAGCACTAACAAGAGCAGTACCAGTCACGATATTAGGCCTTAGACCACCTGCCTTTTCAGCATTCTCATAAAACCCAATTGCAACTTCAGGTTTTCCAATCTTAACGAACCCAGAAATTACTGAACTGGTAACAAAATTATCAAAAGGGTATTGAATTTTCTCATCAGTCATCAACTCTAACACTTCGATTGTCCTATCCATCATTCCCATAGAACTCAAACAATGAATCAAAGAACAAAAAGTAAAAGAAGAAGGCAATATACCATCAACCCTCAAACAATCTTTCAACACAGAAAGCGCCTTTTCGGGATCTTTTACATCGATACAAAGGCCTTGAATTAGAGAATCCCAGATGTGATTTTGTCGACAAACAGAAGTTTTTGCCATCCGGGTCTTCATGAATTGAGCTGCTTCTTCATATTTATGCTCTTTGAGAAGAGCCCTTGTAAAAAGCAAATGTGTAGAAGAGTCTCCCATGATTTGGTATGCGTTCATTTGAGAGAATAAGAGAATAACTGATTTGAATTTATGGTTTTGAGAGAGAAAGAGAAGGAATTGGTTGCAGTGTTTCAGGGTTGGAGTGAAGCCACTTTTTAGGAGAGCTGAGAGTGCACGAGTTTTGGTTTTCTTCCGATGACAAGGAGAAGAAGAACAAGATAGAGTGGAGAATCGTTTGGTGTTGAAGAGCTTAGACATAATCATTACTGCGAATTTTATAGAGAGAGGAAGAGAACGCTTGAAGCAAAGACAGTTTGAAGGTTAGTCGCTAGTTAAGCGTTTTGAAAAATTCTGGCTTAACTTGGCTAGTTTAGTTAAAGGCCGACACCGTTGGGTCCGGCTCCCCTGCAACGGCGACGTTTCACGCAAAAGCCCAGAAGCCAGAAATTTTCTAGGCAACGACGTCGTCCAACTCGAGTGCCATCTTTTTTTTTTTTTTTTTGGTCGTTTCAACAGCAGGGAGTGTCCAAATCCGTTTACGCGTGCCTCGAATAATCTGTCCCACTCAAAAAGAGGTTATCTATATTAAAATTAAAGTATTTATAAGAAATAAATTTCTTATAGCCATAGATAAAATTGTGTTGATTTTACACTGTATTCAAAACCAATTCAAAAGTCAACCGGCTAAGTTCCTCAAAATTATTACTTTTTTTTATTATAGGTGCCTCTTGGGTGTCAATTTTATTCATTAATATGAAATTTTTTTTGGGGTTAAAATTAATATGAAATTGACATGATACAAAACACAAAAATAAAGTTAAACACGAATAATATATTAACGGGTATTATAGATAAAAAAATATATATATTTAATGAATATTATAAATAAATAATATATATTTTATAATTTTTAAATTTTTAAATCTATCTAATAAGTTAGTCAATAAATTGAATTTTTTATCCTTTATATATTTGAAAATAAAAATTTGACTTATTATGACATTTGGATTGACTATGAGCTCCATCAAATATTAGAAATTGTTATTCATCCAATGATTTCAATGAAGCTATATCATCAGGTCAGCCAATGAGATCAAATTTTTTGTTTTGAATAGCATTATTCTTATATATTTTTCCTCCAAAAAATATCACATTACTCAATTTTATCACATGTTCTATCATTTAATATTTTATTAATTTATAATTTAACATAAATTTTTTTCATACATTATCCATGTACGATAATATAAACATGTTAAAAAAAAAGGTTTTGTCATGATATGCATTTTGAGAAAACTTTAACGCTATTTTTAAAAAATAATATGTAAAAATTAATTTTAAATGATATAATAAAAGAAACAAAATAATAAAAAAAATTATTTGATATAATGAAATCAATTTTTTAAACATTCGAATCTTATATTTCATCGTTTTTTCAAGCACAAGTTATGAATAATAGTATTATGTAAGTTATTGTAGAATTAAATAAAATTTTATTGACATGAATATTAACACAAATACGATACATACCAAAAATAATAAAATGACACAAAAATAACATAATGGAAAGTGACAAAATCGACACCCTTATCTCCTAACCTTATGAGCCTGTTTGGTATTTGGGATAAGGGAGAATTTGGAAGATGGGTTGGGGAATAAAAGTCCACAAAAACTAGTAAATTCATGTTTGACAACTAAATTTTTAGCCTAGGTTACCAAACTCAACCTGTGTAGAGATCTGAAAAAGTGAAGATAAATTTTTCAGTTTTGCCAATAAGGTACTATTCATGCACCATTTGTTGATAGGATATTACATATGCATCATTAAAATATAAGTCATATTTAAGAGAATAATTTGAGTATGTCATAGAAGAGAAACATGTTTAAAATGTTAAAATGCACCTACTATGCGAATTTGAGCTTAAACAGAAATAGTTTCAAAAATTGGATAAAAATGGTATTCCAAGCGGCCTAGGTGGAACCCGCTACTAGTGAAAATCTATTTTTTAAAAAAATTTTATTTAAAATAATTTAAAAAATTTTGGTTAAAATAAAATGTCGAATTGAGACGTTTCGAGATGAGTTGTAGTGTAACGGGGTCCCGGATTCATCAAGGGTAAAATAGTTATTTTACACATTTACCCTCCACTATAATTACAGCCCCTTAGTGTAAAAAATATCAGTATTTTTCCTGGAGATAGAGCAATACACGTTCAAGAGGAAAAGTGAAGAAAAAATCTTAGTTCTTCAAGTTTCAAACCACAAAAACTCATTCCTAGACTAAAATTCTTGCAAGATTTTCTTCTAAGAAGTTGTTCCTCTCAACAAGGGTTATATTCTCACCAATTAGTTCGGCTATAAAGCGAACACAACTCTCTTGATTTGAGAAAAATTATTTTAGGTATGATGTTTTGCTAAGTTAGGAATAGATTTAAGTTTTCTTATCTTTCTATGTGTTAATTGAATGATTTAGGTATTTACTTGATGTAAGAAAATCATTTAGTTGGTAGTTGCTTTGAAAACTTAGAATTAGTTGTTTAAGTACTTTTGTGTTTTTTTGAATTTCTTGACAATTTGTTGCTATGGTAAAAGTGTATATTGCTTATGTGTTAGATTATTATATTCTACCTTATGTTCATGTAGAGAAACTCTTGTGGTTTGAGAGTTATGATTTATTACGTGAGTTGGTAGTTTGTGTATTTGTAGTTTCTTTGAGAAATTGTGAAAGTAAAGAATATGAAGTTTGATAATATGTTCAATTCATTGAATAATGTTTCACATCCATGTAGATATGGTGTTTGATGAAATGTTTCATAGAATTCACATTGAAGAAAAATCAAGGCATCTTAGCATATATGAATCTTTGGAACATAGTGTGAGTTGAGTACTTAGTGCTATGCATTATGAGAGTGTAAATCTTGTGGTGAAAAATCTAAAATTTGGCCAATGACAGTACTCACGGGCTGACGGGGGCGAACCGTGAAGCGAGATATGGGTGGCATAGAGTTGCATGGGTGTGTCATGCATATTGACATTGCATAGCATTGAGAGATCACGGGGTTATAACTTTTAAAAATGTACACTTGCACATGAAATGCCTTAAATTTGTTCCTAATATTAACATTTTGTCATACCAGTAGTTGAGCTGACCCATTCGTGGGATATCATATTACAGATAAGGCTCCCGATACTTGAGACTTGAGAAAGTCTTAAAGGAAAGAAGGGAAAATGAACTTGAATGGATATTTGACATTTGAACATATTTTGTATGTATGGACATAAGCCCAAATAACTTGTATTTCAATTTGAAAAAGTAATGAATTTAGACCTTGAGTCATTTTAAAGTGTAAGGGTGTAAACCCAATTGATATGTAAGATATCTTTATCTAATGAGTATTATATGTGTATGTTAAAAATAAATGATGTATATTTAATTTCCACAGATTGTGGCCACTGAGTGAGGGTGAGTTGTAATATAATAATACATAAGAAATATTGTGAATATTAAGTAGGAAAAAGGCTTGAAAACAAAAGAGGTTATGTCGAAATTTTATGAAAAATTAAAAGACTTTTTAAGTGTGTAAAACACCTTTTAAATAGGTGGAAAGAATGTCAAAAGGGGGGGGGGGGTTTAAAAACCTTGAAGAAATAGGCTAAAAATGAAAGAAAAGTGGTTTGAAATATTTTGAAAAACATGAGAAATGAATGAAAAACTAATTTATCCAACCTAATAATCTTTTATTTACTTTTCTTCTTCCTTTACACTCATTCTTCGGGTTTGTGAAAATTTGGGGCATGATAACCCTCTTTAGGCTCGCAATTTAAACCCAAGTTCACGAGTTTCATAAGACCCGGTGGGGTGGGTTTCATGTGGAGGTTAAAGAGTTGAGCATACAAAATGATATTTATACCCCCATATAACCCATATATCTCATGGATGTGTTTGAGTAGGAGATTAAAGTGGATTAACACCAATATGGATAGGCTAATAGTGCAATGGGTCCCAGTAATCTTTTGTTTGTAAAGCATTTTTGAGATTGGATTAAACTTTCGGATCAATCCTTGACCCAGTTACTGCAGTGCCCATTAACCCTCCTATATCGGATAAACTTAACCCACCCCACCCCCCATGGGTTACAAACCCAGCCAACAGGATAACCCCACCCATAGACATATTTGCCCCTCTTGTCTCTTTCTCCACCCACTCAACCCTCTCTTTCTCCTGTCACCCAAGAGCTGAGCTCGTCCAAGGGTTCTGTTGCATAGAGGCGACGATGATCTGTCAAGGTGACAAAGAAGACGAACGAGAAGCAGTTGGGAGCTTCTGGGAGGTAAGCATCTGGGTCTCTCTCTCTCTCACTCTCTATATATATCTATCTTTCTCCCTCTCTGGACCAAACTATGAAGAGATCTGGCTCACTGATGAGAAAGCCAAACCAACTTCACTGATGAGAGAGCTGGTGATTTACCATTTGATGTGGAAGGCTTGTGGGAAGCCGTTTCGGTTCCATTGGCATGAATGTGAACATTGAAAGTTAGAAGCTTTTAATGTTCACCAAACTGGTTGTTGGGTTTTGTTATGTGGTTATTCAGCAAAGTTAAAAGTTTTGTTGTGGGTGGGATTTGTTATGTGGTTGTTGGGTTTCACCAAACTGGTAAAGCTTGTGTTTTATGGTGGTTAATGCTTTGATGGGTGTGTTAAGCAATGGAAAACTTTTTTCATAACAAAACCAAAAAAAAAATAAATATTGTAAATTGAAACCATCTACTATGTAGTTTACGAATTAAGCCCAATTTGCTGATAAATATTATGTTTTTTAGTTTCAAGTGTAAACCATTAAACCAACACAATGAAATTATTGACAAATTTTTTTATGTATAAATATCATGTAGTAAATTTTAGATGTTTGTAGGATAAGTGAGAAATTCAAACAAAAGATTACATTGGATTGGATATGTCAATGGGTAAAATGGTAAATATCTACAAAAATAAATATCAAAGTCTGTGAGTCCCATGAAATTGAATTGTTCCTTGCCAAACAATGGGTTGAATTGGATAGCAAACATAACCCATCCAATTAAGTAGGAAACAAAAAGTCCTATCCTTGCCGGTTATCCAAACGCTCCTCATATAACCCTATTTATGTGAGTTTGGATTAGATTGGTTAAAGGATACAATAGTTATTTTTATATAAATATATTATTATAATAGTAATATATCCGTACACAATATGAACGATATTGAACGTTGGATCTCAATTTAAACTTTTCCTAGAAAAACAACCAAACAGGCCCTACGTAGCTTCGCCCGGGCCATGAGGTGCCTTCACGGTGGAGTAGGTTGGACTAATTTCCGGTCAAGATGGACCAACAGGACCCACAAACCTATCTGTCCGGCTGCCATTTGTTAGGTTGGGCTAGTCCATGACCCACTAGGATTCCTGACCATCGGGCCAACCCCTAGACCACAGGCCTCACATCGAGCCTCATTGACACCAGATATACCTCTAGATATTGCAATATTCGGCATGAGCTTCAATACCAAAATCGTTGGGTAAGTCACCTTTGTCTCTATGACGACATATTTTAATTTGGTCAGAGTGCTGAACTCGAAAAAATGATCGATGCAAATCTAAATACCTTGTAATAAAAAAAGAATTGAGTGGTCCATTCTTCAAATGTCTAAAATTACCCGATAAGTGTACAACTCATATGTCTTATAACACATAAATACATGTTTTCCACCTTTTTTGTAACATGAAGATAAGAATATCATTTCTTTTCTCTGGAAACGACCAAAATGTTTCGGGTATGGCTGAAATAGTAACAAATAAGTGATGGAAAATCAAATTTCCTTCAAAATCAAAATCAAAATTTTAATTTTTCTCTTGGTTTCTATTCTACTGTCATAATATTGTTTAAAATATTCTCAAATCATTTTTATTTTATATAACTAATAAAAAAATTATGCACCGAAAAAAAATTACTTACGTGACTGAGTCATACTCTTATTTGTAGTCATACGAGGAAAAACAATTACCTTTCAGCGTCGTGGGAAAAAGGAAGGAAAGTCGTGTTGATTAGCCTTTCTTTCTTATTTTTTGGTTACCTAACCCCATTCTGATGGCAAAGCGCTCCTTTTCAAGCTAATGGTCTTCCGAACTTTGTACTCATACTCATGACTTAGTCGTTGATACCAATCCAATCCGCATGTAAATTTATTGACAATAATGTTATATTTTTCAGATTTTTTACTAAATTTTTATTTAGGTGATGATAAAAAGAGTGCAAAATCAAGTACCGCATCCGACCATTCATTTTTAGAATCCGCTCTTTCAAATACCAATTTTTTACCACACTTTATGAGTCATCGGCCAAGAGCCCTTGTGCCTAATCCTAATCTCACACTCCTACTCTTTTCCCGAGTTGCGCCTCCTCAAGTGTTCATCTAGGATCATCGTCAATTATTGATTCTAATCTCATATATTGGGAGACTGAGGAGTCCATTGTTTTAAGGCCCAATATATAAGTTTAAAATGCATATCCACCTGAAAGTTTAAGTCTATATGTAGTGAGTTCATCCACATTATATTAAAACACTTTAGCTTTTTTTTTTTTTATCCGATGTGAGATTCACACATATGTAATACCCAATAATTTTTTTTTAAAAGTTTTTTTAATGTTTGACATTAAGAATAATGATTTTCGGGGATGAGTACTCTAGGATGGTCGATTTGGCCTTGAATCTACATGCCTATGACATTGTTTCTTAAGGAAATTTGTGCAACAAATTATCCTAAAATTGAGATCTTCTACACACAAAAATATTCTCATAAAAGAAGATATCCATTCTTGAGATGGCAGCTCAAGATCAACCTCGTGAAAAACCTTACCCTTCAAATACCGAAGAAAAGCCCTTTAATTTGATGTAGAATTTATGAAATTTTTCTCAAAATTTTAACTAGTTTATCTCCCAAATTTCTTTTTATTTTCTTAAATGTTCCTCATAAATTGAAATCTTGACTGAGTCCTTCCCTCGATTGACAAAACTTCACTACTGCGTCCATCTCCAACCCCCAGTCCTTACGTCTCGAATTCGTTTCAAAATTGATCATTCAGGTCCACCGCAAGTAAATGCTCGGGTTCCACTTCCATAACAAAAAGACAGAAAAGGAAAAAGGAAGGAAGGGGGGCTCAAAAACTTTTTAGAAATAGTCCGAAGGATAAATTACTCTTTGATTTTACCTTGAATGTTTCCTCTGTCTCACATTACTCCTTGAATATTAATTTTCTCATATCGTACTTCCATGATTTTACATAGTCTTCTCAATTATCATGTTTCTTATATTATACATCCAATTATAACTGCGGATTCCACATTGCCTCGGTTGGTGGTGTTGAACTTGTCCATTTTACTACACATCCAGATATCTTTCATCCAAAACATGACAAACCTTTTGCTTTGGTATGGTGCAATATGAAATCAATTCAAAAAGTTGAGGCACAATGTGAAAATTGAATAATTGAAGGAACAAATTATGATTCTTGCCATAGTTGAGGGGTGGAAGTGTAATTTTCCCAAGTCATGAAGTAGTTGGCCAGCCATTTTCCTTTCAAGCTACCACTCAGCTTTAAGACAAGGAACAAATTCAATCATGTGGGTCATGCACTTGCATATAAAACTAGTTCCCTCAAATTCCTAGCATCACAGAGGGGTGAAAAAGGTGAAAGAGAGAAATGGGTTGCTGTTGGTCCTGCAAATCATCCTCTGCATTCAATACTATACGAGTGGTACACTTGAATGGTTATGTAGAAGACTTCGAACATCCAGTTACAGTCAGTGAAGTCACTGGTAAGCCACCAAAGCATTTTGTGATCACCCAGGCTGAGCTTCTGTCCACAGGCACCAAGCCTCTCAGACCCGACGCCATACTCGAGCCCGGCCATATCTACTTCCTGCTACCGTACTCAACATTTCAGTCCAACGTCTCTCCCATGGAATTGGCCCCTCTAGCAAGAAAGCTCACTGCCATAGCCAAAAGTAGCCGGTCCAACACTAATTCTGCGCGGGTCAACATTTCGTCTAGCCCGCACGGACTGAGCCCGATATGGGGCTCACCGGCTAGTAGTCCTAGCCGGTTTTCAGACCAGTGTAAGGGGGTGGAACCAGAATGGGGTGTGACAGGGTATGGTTTGCAAAAGTCGTCCAAGTCACGGTCATGGAAGCCACTTTTGGCCACGATCAGAGAAAGATCGTTTAATCGGAGAAGTGAATCGGATCTACAAGAGAAGAATTCGGACAACATGAAATAGCTTTGAGTATGAGTAGGGTAATAGCCATGGTAATAGTAGGCGGAAGCTATGTACTATGGAATGAGTTTTAAAATCGTTAAAGTTTCATCTAAAACTTACAATGTTATGCAATACAGGTCCGAGACACTTCAGTTTATCATTAGGCCCAAGACCCACATGATGCCGTGGGCGTGGTGTGTGTCAAGACATCTGGTTTTGATTATTATGATTTAAAGTGTTGATAAGGTCTATTGATATATATTTTTTCATATTCAATTTTATTCCCAACGAGCTGATTATGGCCCCGCCATGCATTATACTAGGTCATGACTCTATAGGCGGACGGACTATTGGGCCATCCTGTGACCCACCAACGACTCATCGACCACTACATAAATCAGATCTAACCTAGGTATTGCAACAGGGAACATGATATATGTTTTTCATGTTGAATTTCATTTCCACGCACCGATTATAATACCGCCTTGCATTATACTACTAGGCCAGTCCATGACTCGTTAGGCCAGCCTGTGACCCACCAGCGACGACCAGCGTTTAGGCCTAACTAAATCAGATCTAATCTAGATGTTGCAACGGGGGACATGAACTTCAACATTAAATTACATGATAAGCTTGTACTTCTCATATGCCTTATGGCACATAAGTGGACATTTTCCCCAGTTATTGTAATATTAATCCGAGTTTAAGGATCAAAATTGCTTTCGTTTTAACCAAAAATGATAGAAAAAACGAAATTTCCATATTCAAAAATATTTTGATGTGTTTTAGAATCAAAATTTAGATTATTTTTCTATTTGTATTATATTTTAAAAATATTTTTCAATAATGTTTATTTTTCACAGCTAATTGAAACTATTCACCGCCAAAATTCTATCACTGATTGAGTGACACTTTGTTTGTTACCTAATGCCATTTTCAGTGCAAAATGTTCATTTTGAACGTCAAGGTCTTCACAACTTTGTGTTTTACTTGATGATGTACTGGTTCCAACTCTGCCCTGAATTTAAAGTTAGCTAATCTATTTAGATTTTTATAAAGCACTAGAAATCATTATAATAAGTAGGCTTTCAAGAATGATTCAAGTGAATTAAAGGTACAATTACATAAAAAAAAACTTGCAATTAGAAGTAGGGTCATTACCAATTAGAATAATCATTTGAATTAGAAGCATTAGCGAGTAAATTGTATATTGACCGCCTCAACTATACCTCAGTCCCAATTATCGCCTCAAGTGTCACTTTTATCAAATTACATCTTCAATTACAATTATTTGCGTCACATTACCTCTAGTTTCAGACTTCAAAATGTATGGAGGGAATTTTTTTTTTAAGGCCTCTCTCTCCCTCAATTTGTTTCTTTTAAAATTATATCACTTTGTTTCAAAATACAATGACACAACGCACTTTTTGTTCAAAATGTCTGATCTTTGGATACATTATATTCACCTCCTCTAAAGTTTGGCCAAATAATAATTAGATCCCCTCATGTATGGAAAATAACATTGACTTCCTTTATCATTAACTTTCGTTTTCTTTTTCTAACAGAAATAGTAAAATGATTATAATGCCCTCAATATGAAATCATTTTCTATTGTAGTTGATTTTTATATCATCCAATCATATAGTGCCACATCTCATATTAAACCACTTACTCTCTCACCCAACCCCAATCCTGATCAAAACGAGCCATAGTTTCGTTGGGTGCATTGAATTGAATTTTTAATAATTTATTTATTGTATTTTATGTCGAAATGCTCTTGATTTTGCACTTTTTTGTAGTTAAAATGGCTGAGATAATTTTTGTAATTTTTTTTTTTTGAGTTACGGTAATTGTTGTTTGTGGCTGTTAAGGATGCAAAGAACAAATAGTTGTTGTGGTTGTTAAAGTGGTTCAGGCTTAGTGATTTTTTTTGTGTTTCGATGTTGTAATGGTCGATTTTTGGTGGTCCTTGGTCATTGAAGTATTCAGGGATGACAGTGGTGACAAAGTAGGGGAGAGACAAAAAAAAAGGGCAATACGTGGTGGTGAAGATTAAAGAAGAGTGGATGGAGGCTACTAAGAGAGATAAAGAGTATAAACAGTTGTATTTTGTTTGGAAACAAGTGTATGTTATTTGTAACATGCATGAGTTTTGTTTGGCAACAAATTCAAATGCACGTGGGATGTAGAAGGGTAATGTTGGCATTTTAAAAATATAAGTTGCTTATATCATCAAATTTGGAAAAGTTTTCTAATCGAGTAATAATGGGTTGGGGGGGGGGGGAATTTGTTACCGACAACAACGTCGAAGAGAGGTTAGTGTTATTTTCTATATATAAAAGAGTCTAATTATTATTTGATCAAACTTCGAAAGAGATGAATGTAATATAATTTACCCTTGATTTTAAGGCAATCCAAAATCTAATAGGAGATATATGAAAAACTCAATAGAAGATAGTGTAAGTAAAAAAAGATCGAGACCATAGTGTTAGGGTACAAAATATAATTTATTTAAGAAAAAATGGACATAGCCCTACCATTCCATCTCTAACTCCCAATCCTTGCGCCCAGGACTTTTTCAAACCTTGTATTTCAGGTCCGTCTGTCAAAAGCTCAAAGACTTTTTTGTAATTTTTTTTTACATTACATTGGTAAAGTTCAAAACTAGTTAACAAAAACCTCTAACATAAGAGATACTAGCACTATCGTTTCTCAAATACTCTCTCATTAAGCAGGGTGGGAAGATGAGTAGCACCATTTGTTCATTATGCTGAACACCCATATTAGCGAGTTTATCAGCACAAAATTTTCCTTCTCTCAGAGTATGAAGGATGAGTGTGTTGAGCAAGATCAACAATTTCTTGCAATTGGCAATGATCCCTCTTTGTGGATGAGTTTCTTCCAATCTTGAGGTCAAGAGTCTATGGGCATCCAGAGAGTCAGTCTCCAAGATAACATTCTTCAGGTTCTGAGTTTGGATGAGTTGAAGGGCTTTGAAGATGGCCCATAATTACTCTTGAGCACTTGAACAATTGGGCAATCTTCCATAGAATCCCATTTGCCAAATTCCTTGATCATTTCTAACAATGCCTCCAACTACTGCAGGTCTTGGGTTTCCTTTAGAACATCCATCCACATTCAGCCTCAACCACTCTATACGAGGAAAATACCATTCCATAAGTTTTTCAAAGTTATGGTCTTGAAAATGTAAATTTTCCTAGAAGGCCAGCTTGATTTCAAGATCCAGCTGCCATGTATTTTTAGCAACTAGGTATGGGGGGTTATGTGAATTTTCAATACACTCCTCCTTCCTATCTGTCCAGATATGCTAGATAAGAGAGGTGAACACTACATGCCACTCCACTTCTCTCCAACTTTTCTTCCTTTGTATTCTTTGATTTTCCCAGAGCCACTTTTATAACTCAGAAGTCTGGTTAACAGAGCTATTTGAGTTTCCTAAGAGAGCTTTCCAGACTGCTTGAGCTTTCGAGCAGTCCCTAAGTATGTGAAAGGTTGATTCCATATGGATGTTGCATCTCTCACAAGTTGCATCGCTGGTCATGTTTCTGGTAGCTCTGAGAAGGTTGGAGAGCATTCTGTCACTCTAAACAAGCTAGAGGAAAAATTTGAGTTTCTATGGAATTATCATGGACCAAATCCATTCCTATCTCGAGACAGAATTATTATCCTCATCTGATTTGAAAAATCAACTGTAGGTTGTCCTTATAGACAACTTACCATTGTTAACAAGACCCCAACATGGGGTATCTCTGAAATCATTATTATTTGGAATGGTCAGTGGTTAGGATATCAAAGATAATGTTAGGGGGAAGAAGCATATATGTATTACTCAAGTTCCAGTTACCTGAGGGATCGATGAAATCTGCCACTAGACTGTCGTAGGCAGCTGAGTCTAGAATCTGCAATCTATTAGCAAGAGGGGATTCTCCACACCACCAATCAGCCCAAAAGGAGATGTTATGACCATTTCCAGTAAGGCATTTTATTCCTTCATTAACAATTTGCTTTGTTTTCAAGATGGCTCTCCAAATTGGAGAAGTATTTGTTTTCTATCTCCAGTCATGTGAGGTACTATTTATGTATTTTTCCTTGACTACTTTAACCCACAGTGCATCATGATTATCTTTGATTTTCCAACCCAACTTAGCCAGTGTAGCTTGATTATTTTCTCTAGTATTTCTTAACCCAAGGTCTCCTTCCTCTTTTGGCTTATAGATTGTGTCCTAATTTATAAGATGAACTTTCTTTTTTTTCCTCTGTATCCCCCCATAGGAGGTTCCTATTGATTCTAACATTTCTCACAGGTGCACTGAGGCAACTAGGTGGTTTGCATGGTGTAATATGGATAGGTGGAGGTAACTGCCAGAATTAAAGTGGCTCTTCCTGCGATGGTTGGATATTTAGCCTTCCATCCACTAAGCTTGGCTTGGATTTTTTCCACCAGGAAGTTATAGGTATCTTTATTGGTTGTTTTGTGAAGAATAGGAATTCCTAGATCCTCAGTTTTGGAAAGTCCACTTCTTATGGTTAGGTGATTGACCTTGCTTCTACTAATATTAGGAGAAAAGTATACTCTAGATTTGACAAGGTTTACTTTCTAGCTTGAGATGTTACAGAAATTTTGAAGCACTTCCTTAATCATATCACAATCATTTTTTGTTGCCCTAGAGAAAAGAATGATATCATCAGCAAAAAGGAGATAGGTGATAGAAGGACCATTCCTAGATGCTTTAATGTATTTCCAGCATCCCTCTTCCATTTTTTTGTTAAACATTTGTCCTAATTTTTCCATATATAGAGTAAAAAGGTAAGGTAACAGTGTGTCACCTTGCCTAAGTCCTCTTTTAAGAGTGAGAGGGTTAAGGGGTTCACAATTCCATTGTATGGATAATGATGATTCTGTACACAACTCATAATAATCTCAATCCAAGATTGTGGAAAATTATATTTGATCAGTGTTTAATGCAAGAAAGACCAATTAATTCTGTCATACGATTTTT